GCAGGGGGTGAAACGCGTCTCGAGACGTTGGGGCGGGTGGCGTTGCAGGGTGAGACGGGGTGGGCAGTGTGGGTCAGCGTGGTTCGGTAAGAGGGACGGAACTTCGCGATGTGGAATGTGGTATGTATTGAATTGGATATGTGTTGAAAGCCCGAAGAACGGCCAGCGACCGCATCGCTAGTAACGAGATGAACGCCAGGAAATGCTACGACCCACCATCGACACGGCGCGCCGCTCAAACCAGATTACCCCGAGCATCCTGCTCCCGCTCAATTGCTTCGAACAGACTCTTGAAGTTACCCGCGCCAAACCCATCGAAGTTGTTCCTCTGGATAATCTCAATGAACACCGTCGGCCGATCCATCAAATGCTTCGTGAAAAGCTGCAGCAGGTAACCACCCTCATCAAAGTCAATCAGAATATCCAAGCTCTTCAGCACCTCAAAGTCCTCGTTGAGCTTGAGTCCCGACTTCTTGAGCCGCATCTTCATAGAATCATAGTAGGTCTCAGGCACCTTGATGAACTCCACGCCCCTCGCTTTCAGGTTGGTTATATCGCGAACAATGTTTTCAGTCCGTAGCGCAATATGCTGAACACCAGGGCCACCGTAAAAGTCAACGTACTCCTCAATCTGGCTCTGCTTCTTGCCCTTGGCAGGCTCATTGATGGGCATCTTGACCACATCATTCGGCGAGCTCATAACAATACTCTTGAGCGCCGAATACTCAGTGCAAATATCCTTGTCGTCGACGCTCCAGAAGCGGTGGAAACCAAGCACCTTCTCGTAGTATTCGCACGCGGTTTCCATCTCGTCCCAGTCTTGGTTACCGACGCAGTGGTCGATTGCTTCGAGTTTAACTTGGGGTAGGTACTTTTGGAGGGGGTCGGCGTTTGTGGATTCGGGGCGGTAGCCGGGGAGGAAGATGCCGGCGTAGTTGTTCTTTTGGATGAGCGTGTGCGTTGTGTCGCCGTATGTGCGGATGGTGGCGAGGCGGACGGTGCCGTGGCTGTCGGATATGTCGTGGGGGGCTGAGATGGTGGCGGCGCCTGATGAGACGGCCGCGGAGTATATGGCATCTACGTTGTCGACTTCGAAAGCGACATCTGGGTTGGCAAGTCAATAAGGATGTTGAACGACTATATGTGATGCTATCCTACCTTTGACGGCATCACCATGGCGCTCTTGGTGCTCATGGATCTCTTGTAGAAGCTGCTCATCTTCTTTGCTGAATCTTGAGCCCTGCTCTAGGCACCTCAAGGGCGATGTAAGGATGAAAGTCACCTTGCCGTTCCGGATGACATGGGATGCGGTCGTTCTTGATCCAGTCTCCAGTCCGCGGTATGCAACACGCTCAAAGCCCATACGTGATACGTAGAATGAAGCTGCTTGTTTGGCGTTACCGACATACCAGTGTACATGGTGGTAGCCTTGGTATGAAGAGACATCGGAAGGGGTGGCAGCAGATTGCCGTGGCGATGCCGGTGGGGAGATAGCAGCGGGCGCCATTGTGAAAGTGATTTGAGAACAGGAATGAACAGTTGAGTAACTCAGGTATAGTTGAAAGTACTCAAACGTTTGGCTAGCAAGTAACGGAGCAGTGCTGCGAAGTGTAGTGAACTGCCTACTAGGCACCGATGCGCAGCCATTCTTTATCTTCTACCGTTCTGCATCCACTTCCCTTCTCGAACCGATATCCGATCACTCTTGCTAGCAATTACCATATTCAATCCAGGTAGCGTCATTTACTTGGTTATGCCGAGCTCACGTGCACTAGCCGCCAGAAGAAAGCAAGTGTTGTCCGCCGCTTTCCGCCAATGAATGATCCGCCTGCATCCGCCGTAAGAACGACGCGTCGCAGTCTTGTGGTTGTAGCAAGCTCTCGGCGAGGGATTTGCGTCAGATCGCGATTTTGATGTTTGCGACTAGTTGCGCATACCCTGGAAAAGAGGCTATGTGGTTGTGATGTGCAATGTTGTGTGTAGGAAGAGTGTTGGTCGCCACGTTGTTGCGGCTTTGCGGGCCAGCCGGCAATTCCCTGGCGAGGCTGTCCTCACTGAATTCACAACCATGCGACTTCACCACCACCAAGTATACTATGATCATTGTTCATCTGAATTGATACGCTTCAGCGGCTCTAAAACCTGGCTTGTTAAGAACTTACAAGATTAGCCCCGACACTGACAATCATGAGATGGTGTTCACGGCCATGACGCGCATAGGCCGAGCCAGACAGCCTCGCGCGAGCCGCCATCCGCAGCCTACCTAAACTTTGCCGTGGAATTCCGCCGCTTAAGCCGAGTGAAAGAACGTGACATGCAACATCGCGATGATCAAAATGGCTTTCACGTGAAAGAACTTACATGTTCTCGCGCTGAGTCCATACGCCAATCTTCTTCCATCACCTTCAAAAAGATATCAGTTCCTACGTAGCCAAACCACTGCTCCAAGACAGTCATCTATCCCACGACCAACCCCAACACAACCATGGCAGTCACCCTCCCCAACACATCCCTATCAGCAAACGACGCACGCATCCTCAACGCGCTCTTCGACCCAGAAACCCTCCCTTCCTCCGTCGGCCAACAAAAAGACATATCCACCTCAATCGACCCATCACTACCCGCCCATCCCACCATCTCAGACACGCAGCTCACCGCCCTCGAGCGCCAACAAAGCGAGATAATAGGCCGTATTTCCAGCACATCAAGCGTCAGCGACATAGACTCTGCGATCGAAGAGCTTAATGCGGTGGTAGAGCAGTGGCCGGCGTATGCGGGTGCGTGGGTGAACCGTGCCATGGTACGGCGGATGAAGCTGGAAGCTGCTTTGGAAGAAGGGAAGACTATCTTCGGGACTGCGAATGAGACATTGGAGTCAGACACTGAGGCTGTGTTCTCTGATCTCGCGCAGGCGATCAAACTCGCCTCTCCGTCTTCCCCGTCCATAGCGGCTGTATCGTCGCATGCCGCGAAGATCCTACGGACGGCATACTCGCACCGCGCGTATCTTTATCTCAAAGCTGTGGAATCAGAAGTACGGTTATATGTTATGACGAAGTCGGAGTTGGAGGAGCAAGCGAGTAAAGATTTTGCGGCTGCGGCAAGGTATGGCGATGAAGTGGCGAGGGAGATGAGTGTTAGGACGAATCCGTATAAGAAGATGTGTGGAGTTATTGTGAGGGATGCGCTGAGAGAGGAGATGGGTATAAATGCTCAAGGTTGATAGATTCGATAACAATGAATCGTCGCGCGCCTCATTCGCTCTTTCGAATGTTGTAGTTTTCAGCAAGAGAGACACAGTCGATTGAGATTTATTGTTCGCCTCCGCGGGGAAGTAGACCTCATTCGTGCCCTGGCGTTCGGCTACCGAGAAGCGGCTGGGACATGTCTCTCCGAGCAAACATTGCTCTTATCTATGTATGTGATGCGGCACGGTTTTGCGAATCTTAACTGATGGGATCCATCTGCGCGCACTCTCAATCTGCAAACGTTCCCCAGTCACTACCATACAACACACTATGTTATTCTCGCATATCTACCCAGGCATTATGTCCCTCAAAACTGTCATATTCATGTTCGTCACTTGCATGGCACCGCTCTTTCTCGTCTACATCGTGGTAAACGGTACCCACATGCTCCAAACCGACGACGTCACCTACATCGATAGAACGACCCCAAACCGCGCCCACCTCGCATTTTTAAGCTCTGTTGTACTGATCGTGGTACTCTACGGAGTAATGTTGATATGCGCCACGACCTGCGGCGGAAAGACAAGAGCTGAGGAGGAACACGCGCGCCATGAAGCCGTGATCAAGGATGTGAGAAAGGACAATAAGCGAGAAATGCAATGGTTCGATATCAATCTACTGAAGGACGATGTGGATTCGGTTGATGAGGACGAGAAGCGATTACACTTCTTCGACGTTGACGATGAGATTGGCGATGTCGGTCTTAAGAGCGGAAGTAGCGAGGACAATATTGGGATGGAGTCTTTGGGAAGCGCGAGTAGTTTGAGGTGGTGCGAGTTGATGTGAAGTTGATGCGAGATGGGCTGGATAAGGTGACAACAAGATCGATGGATAAATTAGGGAAACGTTGTATATCGCGGTAACTGGCTCCAGCATATTCGTCGTGATCAAGCTTGTACATCCAAACATCCTGCACACTTCGCATCTTCGATGCCCTCACTCGCTCCCACAATCCGCCACATAACCCTCCTCATCCACCGGTCTATCCCATCCGTGAAACTCCTCGTACGTTTCCGTCTTCGCAGCGCATTGAGGAACGATGTAATTGCATGCTTGAAGCGCCTTGCTCACGCAGCTATCGTGGTTGTCGACGCGCATGTGGTACATTGACATGAAAGCAAGAAGGCCTACGATTTTGAAGGGCTTACGGATACGTAGGAGAATGAGACCGGAGCAGGATAGCGCTAGTAGGACGAAATCGGGGGATGGGTATGATAACATGGAGGCTTGCGGGTTGAGAAGGTGGGTGTTGGGGTTTGATGGTATGAGAATGGAATGGTATATCTGCGGGCGTGATGTCAAGTTTGCTGCTCCTCGAGGTTTGATTACTGCTGGACCAGATATTACGAGAAAGCACTGATGCGGGTAATGTGTTTCTTGCTTTCTCTCCGCATCTTGCCAACACAATTTCTTTTGGTAAGAGTGAGAAGATTCCCGGGGAGAGTCTCTGAACCTGTGTACTTCTTCATATCCCTACCACACCCATCTTCCCCATCACCTCACATAGGCAAATTCCAAATAAAATCCAACGTCCCATCATCAAACCCCTGAAACCCCCCCTGCAGTCCCCCATCCAACCCAAACGGCGCCATCGCCGGATCAAAAGGCAACGCCAACCAATCATCATCTGGCATATCAGGCATAAGCCCCGTTACATTCTCCGCTAGGCTCGACAAACTAGACTGGCCCGCATTATGGTTGTTCAGGAACGCCATGCCTTCTGTTGCGGAGGCGGAGGCGGCGTGTGAAGTATTATGTGAGGTATTGTGGGGGGTGGATGTTGCGCGCGAGGGCAGGCGGGGTGGACGGGAGGACACGACGAAGGACTCGCGGAGGCGGGCGACGTGCAGGTCGAGAAGGGTGGCATAGCGGGATGCGAGGTGCATGTCGTCGAGGGTACCTGAGATACCGTGTTAGTGACCGCAGAGCGAGATGTGCGTTGGGTGGAAGAGATGGACTTACTAGCACGAAGAGCCCTGATCGCCGCGTCCAGGATATCCAAACAACTCTGCAACTTGGCATTCCTACTACCCAGGCTCAACCCTTTGATCAAGTAGATCGAGCTAGTTGTTATCCGCAAGAAGATCCTGACAGGCGAGTACCGCAGCGCCCCGGTTTCAGAGAGCTGGCAGACCTTTTGCAGGATCTGACAGCTTCCGTCGACAACTTCTTGGATGAAGTCGTAGTCTCGCGGCTCGAGGTTGAAGGGAAGGTTGTCTTCCTGCGGCACATCCGGATCGGTTTCTGCGAGTGTACGTTCGACGACGGCTTGCATACCGAGCGAGTTTGTGTAGATGCGGACGTATTGGTATTCGATGTGGAGCATGTCGTGGAGGCCGACTTTGAGCTTGCATGGGTCGAGGTACTTCTTCCGCCATGATACTAGTAGTGGCTGGAAATGTTCGAGGAGCCCGATGTAGCGACCGGTGCGTAGTAAGCTTCGTGTCGTGGCTGTGTTCGGGTAGATGGTGTCTGAAATTGAGCGCGCGAGCTTTGTGAGTTCGACCCAGGCGCTCATGAAGGATTGCCATTGCTCGACTGCACCAGTTGCAGAGTCGACTGGTATCTTCTCCATCAGAGCATGATTAAGACTCTGCGGGATCATCGATGTGCAACCGAGCCTCCATGAAAGCTGCTCGAGCAGAACATATAGTAGCTTCCGAGCTCTGATCCTTCGTAAGATGAGGTACTCAGTAGTGAACTTTGGGTAAGACACTTGGTCCTTGTCGATCCTAGCGTTGTCTTCGAAGAGACCCAGCTCTTGTGCCAGTGACAACGCGCAGCCCATCAACATCCATGACATACGGTCGGAACGCTTTGCGGGCTCAATGACATCTTCAAGCCATCGGTTGGACGTTACATCTCCTTCCAACAGCTTCGCGCCTTCCTCTGTGGTGTTGTTCGCGCCGATCATGAGCTCGCAATCCCAGCCATCAGCAGCAGTGGGGAAATGCAGCGCGCGAGGATGCCATTCGGACAGCAAGAGAAGCGCCTCTATAGATCCAATGGTCCGACTCTGCGCTTTCGACGGCTTGACTTGTCCGAGCATGATCTTCATGATGAAGCGCTGGCATTGCTCCCAGAGCCTGTCATGCACAAAGTAACCTCTGGATGCGCCGCCTACACCAGGAAGAATGTTGTACCTAGATGAAATCATGAGTATGGTAGTGCACAAAAATGGATCCAGCGCAATCAGCGTATAGTGATTCTCATGATGAGAATAAAATTCTCCCAGTATGGGCGACAACGGCGAGCAATTTTTGAAGAACAAATCGACGTAGGTAACCGCCTCATGTGCAGAGAACCAGCCCATCTGCACGAACCGACACGACGTCCATGTTTTCAGCGTCTCTGGTGACGGGGTGGACATCTGCACCGGCTGCGCTCTGAACGTGTGGAACGGCGACGACGGAACACCCTCATAGCCCGATGGCCCCGACCTAGGAGTCTCATATGCCTGCGAGCCCGACTGTTCCTGGCTATCGATAGCATCGCGATGATGCGCAGCTTCGAAAAGCAAATTCAACGCATCGCTCCCACTTGACACCACGGTCCGCATAACCGAATGCGCAAGATCCGGCTGGCTCGACGAGATCCTGCGAAGATGCCCATGAGGTGACTGAAACTCAGCGCGATTCGTGCCGTTGACATGCGGACTAGTCCCCGGCGTGAAACCATGCGTCGATATGGACGACCTATGAGCTGGCGAGGGCTGCACGTTTGGCGCAGGATTGGACTGAGGGCGATCATGAACAGGCTCATCGTCTTCCTCGCCCTCGCGCGCCGCTTCCCCCGGTTTACGTCTCTTAACCCAGCTTCTCTCGGAGCGAAACACACACTCGCGCATCTCGCGCTTGCATCGCTGACATGGTGGCTTTAGTTCACCTCCATCTGGCCCGGTTCCCAAGATGCACTTAGCCTTGCGTTGCCGGCAGTTGATGCAAGCCTTGTACGCGCGCTTGAAGTCCTCGGGGTGGGTCCGCTTTTTGCTTGCAGACGCCGAATTGGCATCTTGTTGGCCTGTGCCAGTAGCGGAGTCGTCCATGGTAATGGGATAAAAGTTATAGATGATAGGGTGATACAACGGATGGCGCAGGAATTGGTGGTGGGCGGAAGCCCGGGTATGACTGGGTTTTGCGCCTCGGGTATCGGCGGCCTGGTGGCGGGCTTATTCTGCAGCCGCCTGCGCCCTACGAGGTAGGAATGACGGACATTGTATGCGACGCAGCTTCCATGATGTGTTGAGAAGCTTCGTTCTGTCTTGGTATTTGCGCACGATAGGAAGTTGTTTGTATTGAAGGCCACAGTCGCTGCTGCATTGCGATGGCACTCGTGTAGTGACCGGCTATTGGTGGGGATATGAGCAAGCATTGGGAAGGTGCAAGCATGCATTCGGTAATCACGATCGATTGTAAATCATTTACCATGAGGTGCTATCGGGAGCTTACTTACTAGGCTGTACCCGTAACGCCGCTTGTCTGCGCCAAAGCAAGTCCTGGTCGATTCTCAGTATCCTGATCTCGTTATTAGCCACAACTCGTCCGATCGCTTAATCTCAGAGGCTTTGATCCGCGCGAGGATGATTCTATATCAGGGAGGCAGTATTGCTACACCTAGAGAGTGAGGAGGTGTTAAGGGCGACATTATGTCAATGTATAGCTAGTGTGTAAGCAGTAGAAATTTAATAGTTTAGAGTACAATAAAAAAGTAGTAAGAAATTAAAAGTATATTATATATAGAAGGGCGTTAAAAGGCGCTTAAAGAGCTAAAATAGATAGTACTATAGTTGCGATGTGTGCGATAAACGGTTGTATGGTAGCGATGCTACACCTATCGATATCTCTTCCTACATGGGAACGAGCTTTGGTTATCCTGACCTTCTGGAAAAGCGTAACATACTCTTAGCTAAGCGCGCGCATGCTGGCATACAAGCGTATACAACTTCTCTCACCCTGCTTTCCTGCCATTGAACTCAGCGATCGGTAGTGTCGAATCATCAAAACTCCGACCATCCACTCGCAGAGTCTTGTTCACAGCCGCAAGTTCAGCCGCGCCACGCGTCTCTTGACCCATACTACAGGCCACCGGGAGGTCCGCACCATATCCCATCACCTGCTCCGCGTTCAAGGCCCCTACTCTTCGTTTGTAAAGCAGAAATATCCCCAGTACGATGAGACCGACACCGAGTATAGCACCAAGCGCTGCTCCTGCTACAGCACCAGAACTCAAGCCATTCTGAGGAAAAGACACAGAAGGCGTTGAGGTAGATGGTTGCGTTTCAGTGGTAGTAGGTGAATTCAGACTTTGGTCACCGGAAGGACGACGAGACGTTGACTGTGCTGCGCGATCCGAAGTCCAGAGGCTAGACGTTGAGCCTCTGGAACCTGTGCTGGTGTTGGATGACACGCTAACTCTAGTACTAGACGTGTCGGGTACAACAGTAGCTGGTCGCGGTGGCGTAGGTAGAGGTACAGTAGTAGCTGGGCGCGGTGGCGTAGGTAGGTTCTGAGTCGTAGTATTTTCAAGACCGGAGTCTCTGCATTGAGCTTGATTAGCAGCATCAGTGAAGCACTCCATGCTCGACGGGCAGCAGAGCCATCCACCAAAACCACATGGGTTTTCGCAGTCACGCCTCTTCAGCACATGGATGGGTGCTTCAATACGTAGCGCTGTGGCGACAGTGCATGCGAGTGGACCAAGTGAGACGAGAAATTGGAGAAACTGCATTTTGGTGCCGGGAATTGGTCAAGAGAAGGTGCTCGAAGCTCTCAATGAGCGGCCTCGATGAAATTCGATCAAGGCTGAGATACGCTATTCTGAGTCGAGCTGTATCTTGCATACCTGCCAACTTGGCACCTCAAGGCTGAGGCAAGGCTGAGGAGATGTTCATGTTATAGCGGGGGGACGGGTGGGATATCGAAGCTCTCGAGGGCTTCTCCGCGCACTTGGCGAGCTGTTCAAACTATGCATATTTTGTGACCTTGTTCCTCTTGTACAGCTTCTTCATTCCGTCCACTAACTTCTCCATCACTCAAAACATCCAAGCGGTCGCGACAATAACACCAACTCCCACAACCCCACACCAACTCCTCTCTACCCTTCCACCCAAGCCCGTCGTCGTCGAAGCCTGCGCACCAGACGCATCAGCCAAACCCGTCGACGCCGTCGACTGTGCGCTGGAAGTCGCTATAGTCGACTCCGCAATACTCGCATCAGATTCAGCCGTCGACTCTGCGCTGGTAGGCGACACTGAAGTCTCAGCAACACTCGCATCAGAACCTTGCGTAGGGCTAGAAGACCGCATGCTAGCCAACGCGATATTCCCACTCGCGTCTCCAACATGCGCCTCAGACGACGAGCTTTCCAGGACTGTAATCTGCGTCGGCGTCGGCATTATTGTTGTTACTGGGACGGACTGCATGCTGACCACCAGCGTCAGTGTTGAATTGATGGAGTTGGAACCAGGAACAGAGCAAAGCGCCTGGTTATTCTCGTCCTTCATGCAGATTTCTTCGGCGGTACAGCACAGTTGGGCGGCGTAACCGCATGCTGTGCCGCTGTCGCATGTTTGCGCTGATGCGACGCAGTAGTGGTAGTAGCAAGCGAGAAGGAGGGGTATTGGGATGGTGAGACGCATGATGAGTACTAGTCGCTGGATGAAGGTGGTTGGGGTAGGAAGGCGGTGTCGCGTGTAGGTCTTTCGCGGGTTGTTGTTTGTTGGGGTAGGTAACGAATGCGGCCGAATCCTTCAGTCGGCCAGACCTAACCTCATCTGCCGATTCTCGTATTTGATATCTCGTATCCCAATATCGCATAGTTAGCCATATTCAAACATCTCCTTCTGAATCACGCCAAATACTAGCAAATAAACATCCTGTCGTGATGAGAATCGAACAGGATACATCATGATCACTACTCTACCTCCAATGCACCACCACCTCTCCTAAGCCAACGCCTCCTCCTTCCTCCTCGCCTTCTTTTCCTGAATCCCCTCCCTCCACTCCCTCCCCTTCACAGCAGTCAACCACGTCGCCCCCGCCCCCGCAACCAAAAACCCCGCACTAATCGTACTAAACCACCCCACGCCCATCTTCCTCACAGCCGGCAAACACGCCGCACTCCCCGCCGCCGCAAACATATACCGCATAAAATAATTCCCCGCCACAACCTCCGCACTCCTCCCCTGCATAACATCCAAACAATACGTATTCAAGCTCGGAAAACAAAACAACTGCGCCACACCCTGCAGAAACATCATAACAACAGGCAGCGCGATGCCTCCCACACGCTTTTCGACGCTCCACCCGTAGATGAGCATGCAAGCGGGTATGACGCCGCCGAGGAAGAAGACGCAGGAGCGGAGCCGGTCTTCAGAGACGCGGTGGCCGCGGCGCTGGATGTATTTCTTGACAACGTGGTCGGCGTAGCGGCCGCCGAAGAAGGTTCCTAGCAGGTAGCCGCAGCCGGGGGCGATGTAGAAGAGGCCGGATTGGAGGGGGGATTGGAGGTTGAAGCGGGGGTTTAGGACGTAGCGGATGGGCGTCAACAAACTATACATATTCCACACGAGACTACTACTCGCCAGTGCCGTTAAGAGGATGTTGGGGTAGCGGTATAGTTTGACGACGCGGAAGGGGTTGAGCCACTGCCACATTTTGTGTGCGCGTTGTGCAGTGGGGAGGCCGACGAGTTCGTCGGCGCGTTTCTTGTGGATGGTTTCGGGCTGGAGGAAGAAGCAGAAGAGGGTTGCGGCGCCGGCGAGGGCGGTTTGCAGCCAGAAGATGTCGCGCCAGGAACGGAATGTGACGATGATACCACCGATGAAGGGGCCAAGGGCGGGGCCGATGAGGGTGCCGCTGAGGAACCAGCCTAGGGCTGTTGCGCGCTCGGTCTGGGTGAGTGTTAGTGGTGGAGGTGATGGAGGTGTGTGAGAGCTGTGATGTAGGCGAGTATTGTATGCCGCTCTCCAAATTGATCTGAAAGCAATCACCGACATTAGAGAAGGCTGAACATACCGGTTTATATATATCCCCAATAACCGCACTCCCAATTACAAGGAAAGCCGTGCCTTGAAAAGCAGTGAGGATCCTGAATACGAAGAAAGAAGCCAGGTTGGGGGCCAACGCCGTCCCAATCGAAAACGCAGTAAACAACCCCGCGCTCACAACACTAACCCACTTCCTACCATAGATATTCCCATACGGACCGTAGAAACAAGGCGACAAGCCCATGAAAAGCATGTACAAAGCGTTGGAAACATTGATAATACTCCCATCCGTATCAAACGTCTCCGCAACCTCAGGAACAGCAGACAGTACCGTGGTCGAGGAAATGGGGGCCAGGAAACTGCAAAAAGAGACTACGGCTACAATGACCATTTTGCGGCGCTCGGTGAATTTGTTGTAGATGACGTCGTTGTCGCCGGTGGCGATGTATTGGACGTTGGCCATGTCGTGGTGTTGGCTGACGGAAGAGACTGTGCGTTGGAGTTGGAGACGGTCTTGGTCGGTTTCATTGTTACTGCGTGGTTGGGGGATGATGGAGGCGTATTCGGTCGTCTTTTCAGGTTCGGCAAAGGAGGAGTTGGGGGGTGCGTGTTGGCCAGCGGGTGC